GTGTTTACGACAGCTTATAATGCTTCTATAAGCTTATTTTGCCTACAATTTATGCTAATCTACACTAAATTTCGAAGCAGTTGTTTCCTGGTCTTGATAAGATAGTGTTCTTGGACGATGACATAGTAGTTCAAACTGATCTTTCACCGCTATGGGATATCGAAATGAACGGAAAGGTCAATGGAGCAGTTGAGACATGCAACGGAGAAGATAACTTTGTGATGTCAAAGCGGTATAGGAGTTATCTGAACTTCTCTCATCCTTTGATATCGAAGAATTTCGATCCCAATGCATGTGCCTGGGCTTATGGCATGAACATCTTCGACCTAGATGCTTGGAGAAAAACCAACATAAGCTTTACGTACCACCATTGGCTTGAACAGGTGAGCGAAGTTTCAACTTTATAGCTTTCAAATTTTTGCGAGAAGAATTTATCGAGGTAATGCGTTACTATCTTCTAAATCATCCTATCTTATGATTGGTATCTTTATGCAGAACTTGAAATCAGACCTGAGCCTTTGGCAGCTAGGAACGTTGCCCCCCGGCCTAATAGCATTCCACGGTCATGTCCAAGTTATTGATCCGTTCTGGCACATGTTGGGACTGGGATATCAGGAAAACACAAGTCATGCTGATGTAAAGAGTGCCGGTGTCATCCATTACAACGGGAGAGCAAAGCCCTGGCTAGAAATTGCATTTCCAAAACTTCGGCCATTTTGGGCAAAATATGTCGATTTCTCAGATAAATTCATCAAGAGCTGTCATATCATGGCAACCTAAGTTGGGTTTTCAGAGGAATATGTCGAAAATGTTGATGATAAAGAGTGTATTGTATATGAGGCAAAGGAAAATGAGAGAGAGTTCTTCCCCGATTCACGGCGTTCAATACTTCTTGATGCAAGATGAAAAAACAGCACCGGGCTTCTGATCAGCAGGACTCTCTTCCCTCAGTGCACATTCCTTCACCTATCACTCTGTATTCCTCTTTCCTTTTTCCCCTTACGCTGTAATTACAACTTCCGGTCATAAAGTTTTGTCTAACGACAAGATGTTAGATGTACAACATGTAATAAAATGCAAGACAACGTACTTCTAAGACTCAATGAGAAGTGTAACCTGACAAATGATAGGATACGTGAGACAACGAGAGGGAAATTGGACAGTCCATAAGACACTAATGATATGTCGGATTTCTTGACAACATCGAGGGATCAGATCCTTATAACTACATCGAACTATGAATTGCTTGACTACGTAAGCAACAAAAAAGGTGCCGCGAGCTCAGCACATGTAACAGACGCACAAGTGAGATAGATTGCAATTGCAATTGCATTTATTCAGACAATTCAACAAACACCTTCTACACCTTCAAAACTTATCAATCGGAGATTATACAAAACAGTCACTGGAGAAAACTTACTTCTTTCCGGTCACATTCGACACCAAATCCCTGAAAAACTTCACTGATTTCGTCACGGGTGAATTAATGGCCATCACATTATACAAAACGCTCTCAACTTCACCGATTGAAGGCCGCGATTTAAACGTCGAAACCATCTTCAATTCCCCTCCTTCCTCAACAAAAACAGCCCATTTCTCACCACTCACAACCCCATCTCTCACGCACCTGAAAACCACTCCACTCCTGCTGCTCAAAAGCCCCTTCACCTCCAAACCCATGAACGAAAAAATCACCTCAAACGAATCCACGAACCAGCCGAGCTCGCCCAACTCCGCCTCCTCCTCGAACGCCCACCTGGGGTTGAAAATCACCACCGGCCTCGGGAACAGCAAATCAGTAACCCTTTTTATAACCGCCAGTTGGGTTCCCTCTGGCGCCAAAAACACCACCACGTCAGCAGAATTCAAATTATCGGTATTACCATTGGCGATGGAGGAAATGTCCGAATGCTCAACCGGGCTCCATGGGGAAGCCCCGAAGGCTTTCACTGCGGATTCTGCGAAGGCAGCGTTTGACCATATAATCAAGACGTTGACCTTGGAGGATCTTCGTTTGATGGGAAGGTCTTGGAAGAGCTGGATGGCGAGGTTGGAGAGGGATTCCGGGGAGTCGTCGGCGACGGGGATTTCGAGTCGGAATCGGGGTTGTTTGGGCTTCTTGAGCTTGGTGGTGAGGCGGAGGTTGTTGAGGGGCTTGGAGAGGGTGGCGGAGAGGCAGGTTTTGGCCTGTTGGATGGCGGCTTCTTTGGAGGTTGGTGGGGTGGGGGAGGAGGATAAGGAGGAGCAGAGTGGGGATAGGGGGGTAATTTTGGGTTTGTGGTGGAGGGTTGAGGGGAAGGAGATGTGAGAGTTTTGGTGGTGTTTGGGAAATGGGAATGGGTGGGTTGGTGGTGGCGGGTTTGGGGGTTTTGATGGTTTGCGTGTGGATTTTGAGAAGGTTGGTAGCCATTTGCCTTTTGACAGAGTAGGGGAAGAAAGCTCAAAGAGAAATAGGTACTTTGCCAGAAGCACTTCAAGATAAGGTTGTAAAAGCACTTCCACCTTTTGTTTCTTTAAACTTTTTTGTGCGATGGTTTGTTAGGGCATCTCTAACCGAGGGTTGGCCAGAGGGCTCGTTTGAGCCCTCTGGCCCTCCAAGATTCTCCAAGATATTAATATTTTAATGAACAGTACATGGCCATATTTGCATCCGTCTCCAACCGAGGGCCAGAGGGCCAAATGGCTCGTTTTAGCCCTGTCACAAAAAACCGTCTCCAACTGAGGGCCAAAGGGCCATAGGGCCAAACATAATTTATTATTTAAATTTAAAAACTACAACAACTTAAATTTAAAAACAACAACTTATATTTAAACACTACAAATTAAATTTAAAAACTACAAATTAAATTTAAAAACAACATTAACTTAAATTAAAAATTACAACGACCTAAATTTAATATCCATAATCAATATCATCTTCATCATCCGCCATTGTAGGAGTATAGTCAGAGGTAAACAATTGCCGCCGAGACATAATTTCTTTTTTTTTCCTATCAAAATAGGCCTTACTCATTGGAGTGTAATTCGAAGTGTTCCTTTCCATATTCTTATCATCCATCTCTTCTTGTATTTGTTTGGCTCGTTCTTCATGTCTACACTTCCTTTCTTCCGCCTCAAGGGCATTTTGCTCCGCCAGTAATCGAAATGAGGCCGCCACTTCATGTTGAGCGATTCGGGCCTTGTTTCGTCCCATAGCCCTAGTTAAAGAACTTTCGGACGGAGTCGGATTTTCTACCCTTGTTTGTTGAATGGTAGGAGATCCATCTTCATTCATATCTACAGATGGGGATGCAGCTTCCAAAGGATCCACTTCATGTTGAGGTGGATCTTCAAATAACACCCACCCTTTACAAATTTCCCAACAACCGTGAAACTGAAAGGGTTTTGAGCTGCCCTCCATATACAATTTCTCCGCTTGGCGTACCTAGAAAATATAATTAAAAAAATTTTAGGAAATTAATTCACGAAATTAAATGTAATATAATGACATATAATTACAAAAATTAAATGTAATATAATTAAACATTTAAAATAAACTGTAAAAACACTAACTTCGTCATAGTAATTGGTGCCGCTTTCATGTCTACTTGCTGCTGCTAATAGTGCTTGATGCCATTTATTCAAACTTGGATGAAGATGTTTCTTCCATCTTGAAGAACAACTTTCGTGGTTTCGGGTATTCGGTGGAATGGTGCCTTCGTAGAACTCTAAGTATTTTTTGGACACATGAGTCCAAACACCTTCACTTGTTTGAGAAATCCCCCTCACACTATCTTCTGAGATCCATCTATAAGCCTTGCAAAGAGCTTCATCTTCTTTTCGGGTCCAAGCCCTACCTTTCATTGCAGATGAGGCCTTTTTTTTTAAAAAAAAAATGAAGGAAATATTGAAGGAAATATTGCAAATGAAGTGAAGAAATATTATAGATGAAGGAAATATTGAAAAATTGAAACAAATATTATAGATGAAGGAAATATTGGAAAATATATTGAAGGAAATATTGAGAAATATATTGAAGGAAATATTGAAAAATATTGAAGAAGGAAATATTGCAAATGAAGTGAAGAATTGAAAGAACTTCACCATATTTATAGAAGAAAAGAAATGTTTAAAATAAAAAATAAAAAAAATAAAAAAAAAAACCCAACGGCTAGCTGCAACGGCTAGCTGACTCAGCTAGCCGTTATATTAAAAAAAAATTCAAACTATTAGTATCGGTTATAACCGACACTAATAGTAAATCTATTAAAAAAAAAGAATCTGTTTAATGTTGTCGGTTATAACCGACAGCAATAGGAAAACATTAAAAAAAAAAATAGCCAGCCCTCTAGCCCTCCAGCCCTCTCCGATCCCGTGGGGCCCTCCCAGATTCCAGAGCCCTCTGGCCTAGCCCTCGGTTGGAGACGGTTTTAAGGTTATTTTTGGCCCTCTGGACCCTTCGGTTAGAGATGGCTTTAGTTCACCTTTCTAGTTTCTACCGCAGCTGTAATATGATTTCCAAATCCTAGTTTTCTCGGAGAACTTCGATGTAATTGGATGCCAAATCAACGGTATTTCAGATCAATTATGCATTGTTATGTTAAAGGTACATGATAACGTGTAATCGACTTGTGATGCTACCATCGTCGCACCACCGGTGAAAGTAGCTCTTTATTTGGAGACGAGCAATCTAACTCTTATCTACGTAGGAGCTTTGCTAGTGGGCATAGGACTACAAAAATTGGGATGGAGTTGTCCGGAGAGAACCTATCTTTCGAGAGCAACTTGCATAAAATAGATTCACTACCACGTACTATCACGTGGTGCCTCAATTTCTGTATTATTGGATCAAAACGCCACAATAGCAATGAATCCGTTCCACGTAGGTCCTCATCCAATCCCCGAGTCGATGCATAACATCATGAGCATCCTAATTTAAACTCTGCTTGGTGCTGGAAAATTATATAAAGTAAACCCATTTTGCAGATCCGCATAACTATAATACCTAAAAATTGGTAACGAGAAGTTGCCAGAATAACTTATTAGTTCATACGATTTACACGTAAATATTACCAGCATATTAATACATAAAAAGTAGCCAGGTTTGGTTTGCAAATACAGTCAAGTCACCCACCAAAGTCGGTTAGTAGACAGTTAAACAAAAATACACGACCAATGACATGATAATACACTAGTTTGGGACAATGTTATCCCAAATCACCCCAACCAATTTTAGATGTTACTAACTTAAGCAACCGGTGGGCGGAGTACATGATCCTGCGAAGTATCCACCGCGGCAGGTGGCATGAACTGCCACATGGCGACCCCAGGGTAGCCAATGAAAGGCACCATCTTGTTTCCACGAGCTTGGCCTTGAGCAGCAAATGCAGCAGGAATTGCAGGAGGGGGAGGTAAAAAGCCGGGCTGAATATTCATGGATTTAAGTTGCTGTTCCAACTTCTCTTTCTCCGATTTCAGCCTCTGCTTCTCATCGCGAAGTTCATTCTTCTCTGCCTGCACAAGGGGAAAAAAAAGGTTTTGCACATTGTCACATCAGCAGTTTTTTTTTTTTTTATGTAAGTCGGTAAGTCCTATCAACTGCTAACACAAAGGCTTACCTTCAATTCCTTGATCTTCTCCTGGAGGCCTGAATTTGTGTCCTTCAACTTTTGGGCTTCACCACGTAATTGATTCACCATTCGTACAGCATCAACCAAAATAGCAGCCTTGTCCGTCTTGGGGGGTCTTCCAGGCTCCAAAATAGAGCCCAATTCCACAAACCTATTTTCAGTACGTGTCAAGCGATAAGACAAGCCTGCCCCAAAAGAGAGGGGACAGAAGGGGAGACAAATAAACAGCGGAGAAGAAAAGAGAGTACTTGTCATTTAGCCTATCCCTTCGCAACTTCTCCCTGCATGCCTTGGAGCTTGTTCCACTGCATGATTCAGTTCTGACCCTGCAAGGAGAAAAATGCAACAGACAGAGGAAGACGGCTGGAATAAGATGAATTTGAAATGAACTTACTAGCTTTGATCAACTCACTTGTAATACTAAAATGTAACTTCTAGGCAGTGATTTCCAAGACATGATAATTTGTCAAGATGTGACATGAGGTGTTTTAACACGAAATTGAAAGAAATTAATCATCAGCGATTGAAAAAGTGTTCATAGATGATCCAGACAACACTAAGAAATAAGCATGCTTATTAGTGATTGAAGAGCTGATTACAAAATTTCATATAGAATCCTCGACTAAGGCTGCAGTAACACAGATTTATAATCTCTTCCAAGCAGCACAGGCATTCAAAAAAAGGGTCAAATGTGAGAAGGTATAAAGCACAGAACAGAGTCAATGAGAACAATTTTTTTTGAAGTGGTTACACATTCTGATTTCTTTGATGAGAAAAAGTCAAAGTGTGTACCTCTTTTTCGAGCCAGATTCCTTAAGTCCCTCTGCATCCCCCAATGACCCATCAAGTTCAACACTACAGAATAGATAAAGTCGCCACAGAATAATAAATGAGCAACCATAAACACAACCCAATCTAAAAATGAATGAACATTACGCAATAGAAAAAAAGATCATGATACAAACATCCAAAACATTTCTGAACTCTATCACCTCCAACCGACCAAAAAATACATACAATTAAACCAAACCTTTCTGAGCTCATCAACGTAATAGATGCTCAAATAATGAATCCACAATGTAAACCAAGCCCATGAAGCCTTCTGTAAACAGTCGTTCAAAAAATGGTCCAGCAGTACATGTAAAGGTCATTGCTTAACTGTAACTGTAAAACCTTTATACGGAAATGCAAGAATATACGCATACATGCGTACCACTTTTCAACAGGAACCCTCACTGCAAGAAGAACTGAATGTTACCCCTAAAGTGCAAATCCCCACCACTGAAGTCATCCTCGTCTCTCAGTAGAAAATACCCGAAGACCCCCACAACTCCAACCAACACTAGTACTCAGCAAATGTAATACACTAAAGCTACAATTCATAGAAAAAGATTTCAACCGACATGTTATCTCTCTCACAGTAACTTCCAAGAAAACTTCAAGTTAGTGGACAAGTACTGTTCGTCCCACAAATGTCTCGCTCAAATCCTATAGCACAAGCAGTTGGTCCGTCAAAGCTAGAGATCCCTAAATTGTTGGAGAAGTCACTTCTTTGTTCTTACAAAAGCTGCTTTTTCTTTCTATTCAGCCAAACACCTTAAATTCGATATTTTTTTTTCCCACCAACATAGAACACAGTACAATCTCAAGTCATTCAATCAGTAACCAGCTTGAATCTAAGCCTCTCTCTACACACACTTCCCAGTCCTAACCAGACCCAATTAACCAAACACTCAAAACCACAAGCAAAACCCCAAACAACAGATTGGGAATAAGACAAAACAAAAGTATCTTGAAATTAGCAATTTCCAGCCACTCAGTCCCAACCCATTGACCAAAAAGCACGCAATTTCAGAGATTATCCAGAAACCCAAAAAATAAAAGCAGAATTGAAAACCCAAAAAATAAAAACCCTAATTCGTCTCGGTCAGATTAATTGCACAAAGCAGGAATTAATCAATAATTAGTAAGAAAAGAAAAAAAAAAAAAAAACAGAAAAAATGAAAGTACCTGGCACTGGATGAACCGGCGATGGGCTGAACTGGCCAAGCGAAGTTCCCATCCAGGACAGGGGTATCGTCAATGAGCCCGTAATCGAAGAGCCAATTGGTGTTTTCCGGGGAGGCCATGTTTGGAGGCCGCCGGAAAAAAAATGTTGGTTTTCCGGCTGGGGACTAGTCTATCCTCGAAACGAAAACCGGGGGCGGAGAAGAATCTGTGTGCTGATGATGATGTGGGGATTGATGGCACAGCACAGGTAGAGTGGGTTGCGTGCTGGGTGTGTTTCGTCATTGTCATTGACCCAACATCTCACTCACGCTTCGTGCTGGGTTGCTGGGTTTGGGCCTCCATAATAATGTCGTGGGCTTGGGCTTATTTCACCATGCTTTTATTTATTTTGTGTAAAACGAAGCTAAGTTTGAAACCCTAGCTAGGGCTGCAAAGTCCTCCATGCACATAAAGATGAGTGAATTCCTTTAGAAGCTAGAGCAAAGAATTCCTATGAAGATTGAGCAAAGTTCTGTTCAAATCCCTTGTTGGAATTTAGTTTGGAATTTAGGTTGTTATCTTGCGGGCCAAGGATTAGTTACTTGCCCATTAAGTATTTGAGTTTGTTTAGGATTTGGTTTAGGGTTTTAGTCTAGGGTTTGCTTTGGTCTTTCTCTATATAAAGACCTCTTTGTTTTGTTTCTGATTAATTCATTCAATAAAAGCTATGTTTTTCGGTATATTGTTCAATATGGTATCAAGAGCGGGTTAGCTGGACCTGTCTCGGTGCCGTCTGTCTGAGTGATTCATGAACTCGTGAGTCTACCACCAGCACCGGATCACCTTGCACCACTGGACGCTTCCGATTGCAACCTGATACACCGACTGGAATTTATCTGACTGCAACCTGCTGCACCGACTTGAATTTGCATCTGCTCAGATCGCTGCAATCATCGCAGCCAACTGGACCACCGCCACACCGCACCCACCATCTGCCGCACTGCTTCAATCTGCATCAATCTGCGTCTTTACATCTGCATCAGTTTGCATCAGTCGCATCTGCACCTTTGATCTGCATCTGCACCAGGTATCGTGCTCCTTGTTCCTCAGTATTGTCATGGCATCTGCAAAGGATGATTCCTTACAAGCTATTGGTGTGAAATTGAATGGAAATAATTATGTGTATTGGGCATATGTGATGAAGAATTTTTTGATTGGAAAAGGTTTGTGGGGCTATGTTTCTGGAATGATTTCTATTCCAAATAACCCTAAAGATGAGAAACATGTTGAATTGGTTGCTACATGGGAGATGAATAATTCAAAGATTATTACGTGGATTAATAATTCTGTTGATTTGGCTATTGGAATGCAACTGGCTAAGTTCTCAACGTCTAAGGAAGTTTGGGATCACTTGGCAAAGTTGTATACCAAGGCCAATTTTGCTAAGAGGTATCAATTGGAAATGGAGATTCGTACAATCCAGCAAGGTGATAAGAGTATTCAAGTGTTTTACAATGAACTGACTAATCTTTGGGATCAACTTGCATTAACTGAGCCTGAAGAACTCGGCATTGTCAAGCTCTATTGTAAATATAGAGAAGAACAACGTCTTGTTCAGTTTCTAATGCCTCTTCGGGATGAGTTTGAGACACTCCGTAGCTCCATCCTTCATCGAACTCCTATTCCATCTGTTGATTCTGTTCTTAATGAGTTACAAGCAGAAGAAGTTCGTGTGCAGTCGCATAGGCTCTCTTCATCGTCGTCAAATACTTCAGCATTTGCTGCGGCAAGGTCTCGTAGGGTTGCTATGGATGAGTGTTCTTATTGTAAAGGGAAAGGGCATTGGAAATCCCAATGTCCTAAGTTGTCTCAGCAATATGAACTTCCACAGAAAGGAGGAGCAGCTGCTGTTTTGCATATTGGAACTGATTCAAAATCTGAATCTAGGAAGGATGATTGGACATGGTAGTTTGAAGTTGACATCGGCATTGACATGGTAGTTTGAAGTTGGCATCAGCATTAACATGGTTGTGTTTTGAAGTTGGCATCGGCATTAGCATGGTTGTGTTTTTCGCATTGGCATTAGCACTAGAATTTGGACTCTTGTATCCACATCTACCTTGCAAACTCATGACTGTGTTTCGCCATGAGTTTGACGGGGGGTGTTGGAATTTAGTTTGGAATTTAGGTTGTTATCTTGCGGGCCAAGGATTAGTTACTTGCCCATTAAGTATTTGAGTTTGTTTAGGATTTGGTTTAGGGTTTTAGTCTAGGGTTTGCTTTGGTCTTTCTCTATATAAAGACCTCTTTGTTTTGTTTCTGATTAATTCATTCAATAAAAGCTATGTTTTTCGGTATATTGTTCAATATCCCTCCTCGTAAACAAGTTCAAATCCCTCATCGTAGACAAATTTGAATCCCCCGTTGTAGTTCAGTTGAATTTAGTAATGAATATTACTAGTATCAAGAAAAGTATACTCTATTATGGCTCGAATATGGTATGAACTTCCAATTGATATATTAAACAAGGTAGTTGAACATCTCTCACATCTTGATCTTTGTCACATTTCTGCGGTGTGCAGGAGTTGGCGGGCTGTTCCGGAATGGGTTCAACTGAGTGCAAACAGGCAATCATCACCATGCCTACATAGTGTGTCACCTTGGTGCAAGAAGGTAGATGGTAAAACCGTGAAGGCGTTAGAGCTATTTGATCTGTCATATAAACGAACTTATATATTGGAAGCACGCATCTGATAGGAGAAGAAGGGGGAGGGCTCATTGCCAATGCTCGACTTCATTCTTCAAAACACGGTTACTTTTCTCAAAAGTCGAAAATTCGTCCAATAGCGGGAGGACAACATTCTTTTACTTTAATCCCTTCTGCAATCAGGTTCTGGAAATACCTCCGTTAGATTTGTACACGGATGAAAAGGTTTACAACCACTCCAACTTCTCCTGATTGTTTCATCGTTGTCCTAGGGGAAAACATAAGATATCATCAAGGATATCGCTTTATAACCACATATAACTCGACAGAGAAGAGTTGGAGTTGTATACGTGGAAATTATGATTTTGATCAAACTGAATCTAGTAGCATATGTGGATGGAATTTTATATTATGTCTATGGTGTGGCGATACTTTTTTTTTCATTTACCTTGGGTGCCTTCGATGTTTCACTTCAAGCCTAGAAACATTTAACATTGTATAACCTACGTGCCAAGACATCATTTTCTCTATAATCCAGTGGAACATATTATTTGGCTGAGTCTGATGGGGAGCTCTTATTGGCGTTTTATTGTGTCGAAAATTATCATCCGATTAGGTTTTGGTATGTTTTCCAGTTTGATTCATCTCCAAAATTTTTGGAGTTGAGTTGAAAGTTTGGGAAATTGAGTAGTGTTTATATTATGCTGGCCTAACCTATTCAAAACATCGAAAGCAATTGTGAATCCAGCAGTGGGGGAGGCTACTGAATTTGCAAACGTGATAGTTTATCGTAGCTTGGAGGATCGGTACGAGTCTTATACTACAAAGGGGAAGGCAGGTGGGCATTTCATCAAAAGTACTAGAGAGAAGGCTTGGTTTCAATTCAACCCCTTAGATATATGGTCAGGCTCAATTGTCTATCTAAATTTTATTCACCTATATATTATGTCGTATTACGGACATTATTTTCTTCTAATGAGGAAAGGGGATCGTATAACTTGTAAGGATTGCAAAGTTATACCGGGAGAGAGCTTGGCTAATCAACATCGCTTGTTGGTGATGGATGTACATATCAAAAGAGAGAAAAAAGAACAAGACTTGGAAGTGCCCAAGGACTAGATGGTGGAATCTAAAAGGAGAAAAACAAGCCATTTTCAAAGAGAAAGTAATCACCCAGTGTGGGTGGGATAGAGAGGGGGAAGCTAGCCAAAGGTGGGATTCCATGGCTAGTTGTATCCAAAAAGTAGCAAAAGAGGTATTAGGAGAGTCCAAGGGTTTTGCCCCATACCAAAAGGAATCTTGGTGGTGGAATGAGGAGGTACAAACAAAGGTGAAGGCTAAGAAGGAATGTTGTAAAGCCTTATACAAGGACATGACCGATGAAAATGGTGAAAGGTATAGAAGAGCGAAGCAAGAGGCGAAGAAAGCTATGAGAGAAGCTAAGTTAGCGGCTTATGACGACATGTATAAGTGACTAGATACCAATGAAGGAGAGTTTGATATCTATAAACTAGCTAGAGCAAGGGAAAAGAAGACAAGAGACCTAAACCAAGTGAGGTGCATCAACGATGAGGATGGAAAGGTTCTTGCTACAAAGAATGCGGTCAAAGACAGATAGAGAGGTTATTTTCATAATCTTTTCAATGAAGGACATGAAAGGAGTACTTCTTTAGGGGAGTTGAGTAACTCAGAAGAGTGTAGAAACTACTCATTTTATCGTCGAATCGGGAAGGAATAAGTGGTTGTAGCTTTGAAAAAGATGAAGCATAGAAAAGCAGTGGGCCCAGACGATATACCGATCGAAGTGTGGAAAGTCTTGGGAGAGACAGGTATAGCATGGCTCACTGACCTTTTCAATAGGATTTTGAAAACGAAGAAGATGCCAACTGAGTGGCGAAAGAGCACTTTGGTGCCTATCTACAAGAATAAGGGCGACGTACAAAATTGCATGAACTATAGGGGTATTAAGCTAATGAGCCGTACAATGAAGCTCTGAGAGAGAGTCATTGAGCATAGATTGAGGCAAGAGACACGGGTTTCGGACAACCAATTCGGGTTCATGCCAGGGCGCTCAACCATGGAGGCAATCTATCTCTTACGAAGATTGATGGAAAGATATAGAGATGGGAAAAAGGATTTACACATGGTCTTTATAGATTTGGAAAAAACGTATGATAGGGTCCCAAAAGACATTCTTTGGAGGATTTTAGAGAAGAAAGGAGTACGAGTAGCATATATCCAAGCTATAAAGGATATGTATGAAGGAGCAAAGACTACCGTAAGAACTCATGAAGGATAAACCGAAAGCTTCCTCATAACTGTAGGATTACATCAAGGCTCATCCTTAAGTCCTTACATTTTTGCGTTGGTAATGGATGAGTTAACATGACATATTCAAGATGATATTCCTTGGTGTATGCTTTTCGCAAATGATATAGTGTTGATAGATGAAACTCAGGAATGGGTAAATGCGAAGCTTAACCTTTGGAGAGAAGTGTTGGAATCTAAAGGTCTTCGCCTAAGC